ACCAGGCGCCATATTGGTACTCCCTAGTTAGACCGATCGCAATGTAAACAATACGTGCGCTACAGCAACGAACAACAATAATGTTCTCATTTTCAGGGGGACATAAGACTTTTTATATAAAGATCAATTAATCACTTGGCGATTCATAGCATAAGTAGATTACTTTAACTTATAATTAAAAAAATAGGCACATCACATTGCATAGTCATTGAAATCAATGAAGTCTATAAATCATGTAATATAACATATTATACAACTCCATCACAACTAAATGAATGTATTAAAGGAGCATTATAATACAGAAAGTGCTAAATTGATGATGTACATGTAATATACATGTATTTTATACATTGTTAATGTACATCTTACATATAATTTTAGGATTTTACATAAAGACTGAATTACAAGCTCATGTCTGTTAATGCTGTGGTGTTTTTCTATTTGCAAATTGTGCATGCATGATGCAATAAACTTTTATGCTGTCTGTGCATTAGCCTTCAAATCTGACAGATTTCGATAGAGCTAAAATAAGGAAACAATTTAATATCTCCACAGAGCTTTAGTTTCTACACTAGCAAATTAGCAGAAATTGGTAAAATAACAGGCAACATCAAATTCATATTTTGCTTTTTGCTCTTAGTTACAACAAAAATATGATAATTGGAAAAAAAACTATACAATTCAATTCAGTTTATTTCTATAGCGCCAATTCACAACACATGTCATCTCAAGGCACTTTACAGTTCACCAGATCATACAGTCAAATTGATTCAAAGTTTTCTATCTAAGGTAAACCAGTTGATTGCATCGACTCATTGACTCAAATGCAATCCCTCACACTAAGCATGCTTGTAGCGACAGTGGAGAGAAAAAACTCCCTTTTAACAGGAAGAAACCTCCAGCAGAACCAGGCTCAGTGTGAGCGGCCATCTGCTGAGGCCGACTGGGGTTCAAGGAGACAGAAGCAGAGATACAAAAAGCAACTGTAAAAGGCTCCACTGTCCCGGAAACACACAGCCATCCAGATGAGCTCCGAGCAAACTCCCATGTCAGAGGATGAAGAGAGCACATCCAGCCAGTCACAGAAAAAAAATAAAAAGTCACAGAAATAAAATAAAACCAGATAAATGGATTAAAAGAAGGAGCCTTATATAGTCACACTGCTGTCAAATCTAAATCCTTTCCCGTTGCTATTGTGATCATTTCATCTGAAATCAGGTACAGATTTAAAGGCGTCTGCAGGATCCATGAAATCATTGCTGATGGTCCATGGATGGTTTCTCTGTTGTCTGATCAGATGTCTGTCATTACCTGGTGTTTGTCCTTACCACTTCACAGACCCATGCCATGAGCAGATATATCATACTTCACGTTGGGTGCCATTACCATGGAGACAACCTGAACAGTTTTTATTATTGAACTTTTCTATTGAAACATCACCAGGACTAAATGTAGAGCCCTAGATGTGGCTGTGCGACTGTTAAAGATGAGAAGTTGGACCTAAATATAAATTTGCCATTAACTATTTAACTTACAGGTCTTTTAGTTTTAGGGGGCATTGGGATATGATGGTAACTTTGCATTACTTTATAAAAAAAACAAAACTAAACAGTATATAATTAATGATGAGAAGAAAAAGTCATTTGTTTTGCAGCTTATAAAGTTCCAGAAAAAGAAGACATGACAGCATTTAGTGCCACTGATGAAAGTCCTAAGATCAAATAAAAAACTATGAGCATATAACTGAGCAAATATGTTCATGTGCTGTTAATACAGTAAATAAAATGACAATAAAGTTTTTTTAGTCTAATGTTAAGTTCTTCCTACAGACAATGTGTTTATGATCACAAAAAAAGGAAGCGTACATTTGCAGACAATTTTTATCCAATTCTGTTCAGGTGTACAGATTCAGATTCAACAACAAACATCCCAGTTGGATCAGTTAGAAATACAATCCAGACAGACAGACAGACAGACAGACAGACAGACAGACAGACAGACAGACAGACAGACAGACAGACAGACAGACACTTGAACCCTGTTGTTTCATGTCTTGAAGAAAACGTAATAATATTAATAATATTATGATGCAGTAATTGAAGAACCTGCATCAGTTTTATCTGCAAAGCATATTTTTAAATTCAACATTATGGTTTCATGTACTTAGAGAATGTAATAATATTTGTCTTCGATCAGCTGCAAAACATTCTGATTATTAAGGGACCTGGCCAAGAGAGCAGCAGCATACAAGTTATAATAGATAAAAACAAATTAAAAACATTAAAACCCTCCAAATTTTCTCAGCTATAAAAGCTATCTGTAGATTTGTCAAAACTAAGTAAGGTTCAGAAAAGTTCTACAAAAACCTTTGTAAGTTTTAAGAAAATAATTGAAAAGCAGTTTTAGAAAAAAACAACAAAAACATTCAAATTATAAGAAAAAAACTATTGTGAAAAAACTGGCAAAATTAATAGGAAAATAATTTTGATATTTTACAAATATTATAGGAAAATATCAGATAGGTTCTCAGGAATCAATTTGTAGGTTTTAAAAAATGTATCACTTAACACAAAAAGTTGAAGGAAACTTAAATATTTGATGCGAAATCTAATAAAGCTCAGGGAAAGAAACAGAAATATGTAAGGTCATGAAAAGTATCTTTAAAGTCCATTTAGGCAAGCTTCTACATTTTTAGAAGGTTCATTTTACGTTTAGAGCCATTGTTGGAAATGAAAAAGTTTTAAGATCAAGAAAAACAGAGTGATGGTCATAATAGCAACCTGTATGTTAACTTACAGAGAGAGTATGCTAAGTTAGTGTAACATACTCTGGTTTTTCTAGATACATTTAACAAATTTATATGGATTAATGTGAATTATTTGTGCAATAATTAAGCATAGCTTAAATTAGCTAAATGAGGATAAATTTAACTTTAATAAGGAATTGCTTTTGCAGATTTTGCCAAAAAGATCTCATCGGCTAACTAATTGTGACTCACAGTGAAATGACTGTCGTTACTGTTAGATGGGTTAGTAATTGTCAAAACTCACTATTTTCACGCATGTTTAATGAATCGATTTTAGTATTAGGCTGCTCAGTGGCACAGAGGGTAGAACTGCTGTCTTGCAACAAGAAGATCTGGGTTCTATTCCTGGCCTGACTCTTTCTGCATGAGGTTTCCATATTATCCCTGAGCATGCGTGGGTTCTCGCTGGTTACTCCGGCTTCCTCCCACATTACTAATGATGATTAATACAAATAAGTTGAATTAATGCACAATTAATATAGAAAACCTATTGTGAATGTTTGAAACTTACAGATTTTAAGTTTGATTTACAGAATAAACTACATTAAAATGGTTTGATGGTTCTAACAAAACTGGCTCTGCAAAGGGCCCTTTGATGATGTTTTATGAATTGGTACTATATAAATAAGCTGAACTGAATTGAATTGATTTTAGGTGGTTAGGCGGTTTCCTCAGATCATTTAAGTTTAACCTAACTTAACTTAATCATACCACTACCTCACCGTTGCTCCTTACCTACTACACTTTAACGTAAAAGTAAATCCACCTGTATATAAGCCATCTGGATTGTACATGTTTTTATTTTTTATTTCTTTATTTCTTATTTTTATTTTGCTTTCCATTGTGTGCGATACATGTACACTTGCACCTTAATCCTTATTTATCTTGATATACTGTATATATATTGTTTATTGGTTATTCTTAATGCACCTTTTTCCTCCTTGTTTGCACCTTCTTTGACTTCTATGCCAATTTGTGACCAGTGAATTTCTCCGCTGTGAGATCAATAAAGTTAATCTAATCTAATCTAATCTAATCTAATCTAATCTAATCTAATTTATCAAGTTTTACAGCATACCTTATACTAAAAAAGTTCCAAGAAACAAACTAAACTCCAGAAGATCCTTCAGGTTAAGTTAAAAAATGTCAGGTTGAACTAATTGCGTAAAATTTAAGCAATCCAAATTCCTGTTATATCCAAATGTCTGTGGATATCTGTGGAAAAAACCAAACGAATCATAGTTCAGCACCACGGACAGCGCCTCTGCTGCGCGCTTCTTCCCTGCAACATTTAAAGCGCACCGCGGTGGCCAATTAACCCGAGTGGACACTCTTCCTCCACACCACAGGTACTAGTGGACATAGTGGGAGGGGTCACGCGTGTGGCTGAGGGAGGGCGCAGAGAGATGCAGCCACTTGTCCAAAGGGAAAGAAGAAAAACAAAGCCGAAAGAAACTCAGACCAGAGCTGAAGTGAATCGTGACACTGGGAAACAGAAACAAACGGGAGGAGCAACGCCCACCGATCAGAGCTCGGATGGAGATTTAAACTGTAGAGCTCTCAAAATGTGAGCAGCTCGTGACGCGCAGGGATAACAAAAACCTTTTTTTGTTTTCTTTCCCCGCCTGGAGCACAACCCCAGGGTGCTGGTCAGAAAGTCCGAGCAGGGAGCTGTGGATGTCCGCTGATGTGCGCAGCAGAGGATGAGTGGCACTGCGGGCATCAAACGCGCACTCATCCATCCTTCTCTGTCGGACCTGAAGAGTGTTTTTGTCTTTCATCTCAGCCTCTTTACATCCTGAAACGAAACATTTCTAAATCCGAGGAAACTAGTGAGCGCGGAACCTGTTGGCAGCGACCATCTGTTTGCTTCCCCTCCCAAACTATTTGGTTTAAATTTGTAATAAACTTAGCTGTGCGCTCGTTTTTAAATGATAACCTGGGTTTTAAATTGTGTGAGCAACACTCTCCTACTTTTTGCTCCTTTTCTTCACTCTAAGACTGACTTCAATCATTTGGACGAGTCAGCACATTTTGGATGAGGATGCTCACTGAAGATTCCCGGATTCCATGCAAAGTAAATTGATTTATTTCTCTCCCTCCGCTCTGGAAGAATGGCTCCTAAAACAGACTGATGATGATGAGGGTGAACAGGTTTATTTCAGGCTAAAAAAAAAAAAAAACTTAAACCCAGGCGGAAAAATGCCAAGTTTTAATTCAGATCTCGGATAAAGTACGACGGTGGAAAATAATAAATACGAGGGAAATAGATCTTTAATCAGTTAGTGTTTTGTTTTGTAATATCTGCACAGTTTGTTGGGGGAGGACAGAGAGACCAACAGGCGATCCTAGAAGCAGCTTGTTGATGGCACTGCGCACAGGGAGGACTTGGTTCGGGCAGGTCTTGCGCAGGGTCTCTCGTCTGCAGGGCTCTTGGTCCAGACGATCCAGCAGTCTGCTGTGTCTCTCCGCGAACCAGGAGCAGGATCTGGGGGTCTGCCACCGGGATCACTACAAAGCGGGGGACTTCGGCGCCCACAGTCCCCACAGCACCCCAGCCTCCGGGCGCTGCCCAGGCGGCTTTCCTCACGCTTGCTGCGCCTTACCGGGTCACCCGAGGGGACATGAGACCCTCGGTCGCCGATTCCTGTTGGCCATGAAGCGGCAAAACGTGCGGACCCTGTCGCTCATCATCTGCACGTTCACGTACCTGCTGGTGGGGGCCGCCGTGTTTGACGCCCTGGAGTCCGAGTTTGAGATGCGCGAGAAGGAACAGCTGGAGGCCGAGGAGAAGCGGCTGCAGGGGAAATATAACATCAGCGAGGATGATTACCGTAAACTGGAGAGCATCATCATGGAGGCTGAGCCCCACAGAGCCGGGGTGCAGTGGAAATTCGCAGGCTCCTTTTACTTTGCCATCACGGTCATAACCACTATAGGTAAGCCTATGAGCGTGTGTGATATTACAGATGCTTTGCACTTCAAAATAAGCAATCACATATGCACCTATCAGCAGCAAACATTTGCATCAAGTTTGTGAGCAACATGTTGCAGCCCTCTGAACCTGGGCGCTAAGTTTGGAGGCATCAGAAAGCAGCAGCGATGTTTCAGAGCTGAGAGTTTAAATCCCTTCACTGTGGCGATGAAAACAAGTTTTGTTCAGGCTTAGAGAGGAGCACCTGGCTCTGGTGGTGCTGAAGGGACAGCTCCTCAGAGCTTCAGCCTTTGGACAGGGGCGTCACCAAGGGGGATGGGGGTAGGGGGCACCCAAATTAATCAACCCCCCATCCATCCATCCATCCATCCATCCATCCATATGAATTGTATTATAACTGATCCAATTGTTGAACTGAACCTTTCTGAACTGAAATGAGCAATATTCCAGAATACTTAATTTCCTCCAGTCTTCTGTCCTTGCAATCACATTTTCTGCAAGGTTCCAATCAAAAGCAGTTGATGATAATGGCAATATAACCTACATTTAAATTACAGGTTACAAAACCGTCATAGGAAAATACTAAAAAACAAAAACAAATATATATACTTTTAGGCTTTTCCCTATTCTCCCTATTTGCATATAACACAGAGCCAGACAAACATGGGACTAGTATGGAAGCCAAAAACATCACATCTGTGATGCTTTTGCAAAGAGTGAAAGGCTGGGCCTTTGCAAAGCTGTTTATATTTCATTTAGATGGTTTCCAACAAAAGAGTTTTACATTTTTTTTTTCTTCAGAAACTGTTTTATCAGAATAAAATCTGAGTAGAAGTGGATGATTGCTGAGATTCAAGCTGTAAGCACTACTGAGTTGACTTGGACATGGAGATCTGGGACTTGAGTCTAATAAACGTTTGTAAGTGGGCAGCAGCTTCTGGATTCTTCTGTAATGCTTCCAACAAGCAGCATTTACAGTAAGTGGATCTCTGACAGATATATGCATTAGGGTTGTATGATTATATCAGCATTGTTGACACTTCTATTCATCCCTTTCACCAATATAATTCACCAATGTGAAGAACAGGTGAGGATTATTCCTGCAGGAGCAGCAGGTGACATGCAACAGGCAGATGCTCGATTCTGCCAGAGGAGAGATGCTGAAGAATAAAAATGTTGGTGGATGTTATTAAAAGTTTCATAGTCAGACAACCTAACTGCAATTTGCCATGATGGCACAGGGCAAAAAGGAAAGCACTATACAGTGTCTTTAAGTAGGTCTAAAGAAAAATAAAAAAAACAGCTATTGGAGAGTTTGAGTTGTTAAATATCGACCAAATTTCAAATTTTGCATCTCTGATATGGACAATCAAGCAGTTGAGTTGATAGCTGGGTCCTCATAAAAGGTGACAGAGATATCAAGCGATACATATATCAAATAGACACCAAGCTTTTCAAAATAAAATAACTTTTGGTCAGTTCTGACGCCCATCGTTATAATTGACATTCTTTTCTCTTTTTATCATAATATAAAGAATAAGCTGCATAACCTATAGCACAGACTGGAAAATTTAGTGATTAAACCTGACATCAAAACATTTACATGCTGCTTTAGGACATTTTTCTTCATATCAATTGTTGATAAACTCAAATAAAAGTTTGGAGAAAAATGGCATCCGAATGCAACACAATGAGCTTTATAGAGGAAATAGATCATTTGAACACATTGTTGAATAGAAATGGAAGTGGACAGTCTGAGTCTGAGACGTGAGGAAAAGAACCATTTCTATTAACTTATTTTTGACGTTCTTGTTTATCTATATTCCTTCTGCAGATCATTAAATCATCCACAGTTCTTTTAAATGTTGAATAGATGTTTTGAAACCGTTTTCACAGGAAAATGCGTTTGATGTGATACTGTTCATTTTAGCTGTTAGAAGCTTCAAACTGGGATAAAATTACTGGCAAACATCCCTTCCACATGCTTGATAGTTACATTATGGAGTGAATTTTGTTCCATTATTGTTATAAGAAAGACATGTTTTGTAAATGGAAATCTATCTATCTCTCTCTCTCTCTCTCTCTCTCTCTCTCTCTCTCT